ATGGATAATGTGGAATTCAAATATTATTATTGTGAAATATGAAGACAAGAGTGGAATTCAAATAACACAAGCAAGCAAATTCATATTAAGTTTTACAAGCCCGAATATCTCCGCTGCAAGTATGGTTACACGCTGCAGAGCAGATACTTTGACAGCATGCGGTATTTGTGCAATTCACTTCGCACAAGTGATTGGCATCACACAGCTGTTTGCATTCAGAGAGTTCATCCGCCGCCACTAAAGCCACCGCCAGCAGGATAACGATCAACGCCGCCGACCCTAATTTCATGTCTATAAATGATTTCATATTCCCCTTAATTAATTCCTCTCTATCTCTCTAATAAGCACTTAATTTGCTTCCATGCATATATAACCTCATACATATATACACACAAGACATAATTTGTAATATTTTAGTCGTAATTAAAGCACACATTTTCTCCGCCGGTAGGTAAGCAAAGCATATTTTCTCTTTCAATTGCGAAATCTTTAGAGAATATTACTTTAGAAAATATCAATACCACTTTCCACCGAATTTAGATTTTCAACTTTTTTTTTTTTATTTCTTTATAATACCATGAATAGAATTAGCAGATTTGCGGCTGACCATTGGGAACACTACAAGAAATAGTAACAAGAATCACCAACGGATTAATAAATTATAGTATATAATAGTATAACGATGGTCGTGAATTAAGTGGGTGTTTTATGAAAAACTAATCTATATATAATATATATATATATATATATATATATATATATATATATTTGATTATTTTTTAAATAGTAATTATTTTCCTCCAAAAAAATCTTATTTACTATATTTGAAAAATATTTAAACATTTTATGGTATCTTTTTGAGAGCTTATTTTGTCAATAACGGATGAATTTATGGTATCTATTTAAGAGTCCATCTATATATATATAATAAGAATTATACTATTTATCAAAAATAGTAGCCATAAAAAACTATCAACAGTAATTGCAATCCATTAATAGTAACTTTTTTTATTTTAATTTTGTAAAAAATCAGTTAACATTAAATGTTGCCACAAATTGTAGATTTTAGATCATTTTAGGATTAAAAATCTCGGCTGAAAGTTTAGAAATGTTTCCATTGTGAATTTAAATATTTCGCTCCGTGTATTTAGCCTTCTAAAATAGCCTAAATCTTTGAGTTTTATTTTCAAATTTGATTTTATTATCCTTTACATGTATGGACTACTTGGGATTTTATACTTATCAAACAACGCAATTTTTGTTCGTAGGGACTTTGAGGATATTTAAGTTTATCTATTTCCAATGTTTCATAAATCCAAAAATCTAAATTGATTAATTTATCACAATCAAGTACGATTCAGTTAAAAAAAATAACTATTTTTAATAAATAAGTTACAAAAGTATCTGAATTTAAAAAGATGTTTTTTATCAAAATAAATATTAATTGTTCTTAAAAATGAATAGAACAAGACATTAAAATTTTAAAAACCGAGTATCTATTGAAACCAAAAAAATTAGGGGAATTAATGGATATTAACAAATTATATTTACAAATTACCCACATCTCATAAATTGATCCAAACGAAAATCAATATTAATATAGATACAAAATAAAAGAAGTTGTTGGGAAAATCTAAATTATTAAGATGACTTTTTAATTAAATACATTGACTTTCTATTTAAAGAATTTTACCAATTATAAGTGAAATAAAAAAAAAATATATTCACATCAGTTTTTTCTTGGAAAAACGCATATATATTTTCAAAAGTGGCTTTCCCCTACAATTGTAGTTTTCCTTTTTTCTTTCTAAACCAAATTTGTTCCTCTTAAAATAAATTATTTTTTTTTTTTACAAAACAAATTAAAAGAAAATCTTTTACCTTTCTAAGTTTTTACTTTTCCCTCATTATTTTATAGCACGACTAAATTTATTTTCTAACGTCCAAATCAATATTATTTTTAAACCACAAATTAAAATCTAATAAATTCCTTCCAATTTAATTTGCGTATAGTATGTCAAATATGATACGAATATAATATATCATTATTATTGTTGCCTTTTTTTTCCATTTTTAACTATTATTATTATTTTATTATTAATGTCATTTCCTTTTAAAAACTAAATAATCATTTTATTTGTTTTCTATTTTTTATATATAATATTAAATTAACCTTCAGTTCTCACGATCTTCAATTTGCTATTCATATTGTATGTATAAATAAAAAATTAATTACTTTTAAGATATTAATAAGTTTATAAGTTAATATTCCATATACAAAATGAACTTAAATTTGTTATTCAATATTGATTTAAAAATATGAATTTAGTCTCAAATTAATCATACTAAATATAAATAAACAGATTTAGTATAAAATAAATAAAATTGTAATTATTATGTTTATCTCTCACGGGTTTAAAAAAAATAATGCTAAAATTTACAAAAATATAAGTAAACAATTATTCAATGATCAAGTATATACCATATTAAAATAATAAATAAACGGGTCATTTGTTGAATTGTCATGTAAACTATTGTATTATAAAAAACTAAAATGACAACTATTTTATAACAGATTAAATAACCATATAAATGTCATATTAAACTATTATATATCATAAAAGTAAAATAAAATATAAAAATTAAATATTAATATTAAAAAATATTTTATACTAATTAATATTCCTTCATTGTTTTATACTATTACTCCGTGTATCGCCCCGGGTTACGTACTAGTTATTTTTAAAATAAATAGATTTAAGGAAAATTATTATTGTATAAAAACTTTTATAAGTCTCTAACTTCCATTAACATTTTAATGTCAATTTTAAAATTAATCGTAATAATAATTATTATATACTAGCTTGTTAAAAATTATTATTACATTTAATTAATGTAAAATGCAATAATTCGTTTCCATAATTAAATAAGAAAAAAAAGAGATAGATTCGCCATTGTTTTTCCTTAATAGAGAAAAACAACCGCTTCACTTCAGAGTTCAGAATCAACGGCTTCTCAGGAAGGACACAAGGTGAAAAGGGAGAAAATCCGATATGGCCTTCTCTCTCAGGTGAGATTTTGTTTTATTAAATAAAAAACATGTGGATTTGATTTCTTGCTTAATTTGTTAGGATATTCGTCAAAATTCAGGGGTTTTTGGTAGAACATATGCAGCCCAAACCTTCCTGTTGCCATCGATGTTTATGCTCGGAGCTTTTGTACTGTTCGGCTCGATTGCTGCTTGGGTTTTTCATGTTATTGCTCGCATGGGGTATGCATTTCCAAATTTATCAAAATTTCCAATTTTTCATTGACTTTCTGTAACTTCTTGTGTTTTTGGGGGAAAAGTCGACAATTTTTTGGTTGATGTTAGTTGTTTTGGTTTGATTGTTTAGTGTCGTTAAGAGTTACTGAGTGAAAAATCGGAACTTCACTATATATCTGTGTCTTTCAAGTTTATGCTCAGCTTGTCGGAATCGCATTGCAAAATTGAACGCCAAAAAAAGCTGTTTTTACTTTTTATAAACAAGAAAATATGCTGTCTGGATACCATTTATTGAGTGTAGACTCTTCAGAGGCTAGCTATTTTAATTTTGCTACTTTAAACAGTTACTTTAATTTGATAATCACTGGTTCATAAGGGAAGGACAGGAAAAGTAATCTATCCATGAACTTGAATGAGGAATATTGGTATCAAATTTGCTGGTCTAGGTTACCTGTTGCATACTGGTGGTTCAATCATGTTTGCACTAAAATCTGGCTAATCTGCTCTGTGTACAAGTTATATGAAAAAAAAAAAGAAATGAAATTGTTTGAGAAAACATAAGTACTTACACTAATAATATGGTTATGAATTGCAAGATGCCTAGTCCTGACCTTAGATTTACAGGATTCAGGTGATAGTTGTACTTTCAGGTCCTGATCTGATGGCTTTCTTATCGTTCGGTTCCTAAATGGATAAAACTATGTAAATTTATCTAGTGTTCATTCTTATTACTTCTAATTGTTCACCCATTTTGTGTCTGAGAATAATGTTTCTTGTAAGCTGTGAATTGCTTGAACAGTCACTTGTGAAATACCTCTGTACTGTAGTTCATTTACAAATTTACAGATGCTATGATTTATTTACAAGAATCGGGCAAATGATATTAATTGATTTACCGGTATGTCATTATTGATACAATTTTTGGTTTGTTTTGCATACAAGCTGACTTAATTAAGCACCTCGCTTTCAGTTCAACAATGTATCTAGATGTCATCTTTCTTTATTTTCCAGTCATTTGTTCATTGTCGCTGGAGAATATATATATAAGTCATAAACATTTTAACTGGCTTATTGACATTTATCAAATTTTTCTAAGTAAGTACGGGGAAATGAAGGAAATTTTCTGAATAGTATCTGGCGAATAAAAAATGCATCAATTGCATTTTCTCATGTTATCTTACTAGAAAATCTCCATTTCATCTATTTCATTTTGTTGTTGGAGATTGTCTTAATTGCTCCTACCTTTTCATTTGGAACAGCGCAGTTATTGTCTTGGGTTTGGTAATAAGCACAAACTGATTTTCGAATCATCCAATAAGCTGTTGAGAGAGCATAACAAAAACTCCTACTCAGATAAAGCTACAAATCTAAGGATCTTTGGGTAGTTAGCACTTTTTGGAGATGAGCTACAAAGAAGCTCCTTTGTTTGAAAGCATTTCACCAAACAATCTACCGAAGCTTACGCACGAAGCTCATGGTTTTGGCGACTCAATTAAACCACCTAAATTCGTAAATCATGGTGAATTGGATTTCTTGTTTTTGTTAAATTAAATCGTATTCTCGAATACTGGACTGTGATGAGTGGTATTTTTATGAAAGGGCTTTGGATGTAGGTCTTTTTCTATGGAACCAGGAAAGACAGAAATGGAGAGGCAGCAAAAGGGCTGTTACTCTGTCTAAAAAGCCGCGAATGCCCAAATTAGGGTGAGCTGAATTTCAGTTTCTCAGGTTATGCAATCAGATAACAGCTTAACCCATGTGAGTTTGAAAAATGGTTCGGATTTTGTAATTAAATTATCTATCTGAGTAATTATCATTTACCGTTTGCATCAAGGGTGACTTCTAGTGCTTATATTATGGGATCAAAATCTGAAGGTGACAGATGCAACAAAACGATTTTGGTATCACTAAGTGACAAATAACATGAGCTGTCCAATTGTGTTTGGTGAAATATGTTTGCGCCCTTTTTNNNNCCTAAAACTCTTTTTTCCTCTTTAAACTATGTAGATGTTTACTGCCTGGTTCTTTTGACCGCGCGTCGCAACGCGACAAATTTAAATTTATAATTTTTCCTCAACTAACCTCTACTAACTAGTAGTAGTGGCGAGCAAGGGTCGATCCCATGAAGAGTAGAAACTAAATTGTGACAATTTCGTATTAATTGAATTAAAACTAAAAAAGCAGTAAAAAAGAGGGATTGATATTATAAAACTAAAAATAAAAATAATAAAATAAAATAAGAGAAGTCCAGTTTTCGGTTCAGTTATCACCCAATCTAAATCTACCGTTAATTAATTTCAACGTCTTCTTTAAATTGCTAATGAATTACCAACTCTAGCTAACAATAAGCTATGTTAACTGAATTTTCCCTTACCGAATATTTAATCGAAATAAACTCTTCGACTAAACCTAACTAGTGGACAACCTAGAATAAGCTCTCTAGATTTAATGTACTAGCAACATTAATTTCTAGGAAAATAGATCAGTCTAAGCAATGGACGCACAAGCTCGGACCATTTAATTTATGTTCACGCTACCCTAGAGATGCACGACCCCTAGTTTACTAACGAAACGAGACAATAACAATTACGGATTAAAGTCACGAATCTAGCAATTAAACTATAAATATTTAATCCAGCTGGCCAAACTAAATCAAACACCATAATTCATAAACATTCAACACAGATAGCATGAATCAACTCATCAACAAAAATAAATACGACGTCTAGATTAATCAACGATAAATATAAATTCTTCAATCCATAGACAAATCAAAGTTAGGGTTTAAACATCCTCTAAAACTGGATAAAAATATTAGCCTAACATACTAAAAAGAAATAAATAAAAGATAAAAGAGAGAGAATAAAATCTCCCTCGTGTACGAGTGCGGCTTCCCTCTGCGTGTGATATTCTCTATCCGTGCGGCTGCTGCGTTTCTTTTCTCTCTACTGCTTACGGCTTTTCCTCTCGACTTTCTGTCCGTCTCGCAAAAATAAAATCCCAGGCTCCAAAATATATCCTTCTTCCGTGGGAGACGTGTTGACTTCAGCAAATGATTCCTAATGCCAAACTAATCAAAACTCCTCCAATTAAAAGTTTCCAGCCCACAAACGTCCAATATTTTCAATTCATTAACCCAATACTTTCAATTCAATTAAAGCTAATTTGGTGGGACCCACAAGTGGTGGCAACCATCCATTATTTACAATGGCTCTCGATTTATTATAAATTTGGGCCGTAAGTGTCCGCTTGGGCTGTAAATAGTGACCAGTATTGGGCCCAACATTGACTTGCTCGAACGCTCGTCCAATGCTCCGGATCCACAAAATACTCTAAAATCCTAAAAATAACACATAAAACATCAAAGCAAATAAATCCATCCATATAATGAATAAGTCGAAAAAAATATAAACGTGCGACTAAATTTAGTGTATAAAAATACACTATTAAATATATAAAACGTGCACATTTATCTATCTATCAGTGTTTTCTCCTTTTAATTTTTCGTTTTATTTCCCAGAAATTTTTGTCTGTGTATATCTAAGAGGTTTTGTTGTGGAGGGACTGCAGCCTATGATAAATTGCTCAGAAAGAGCAAGCCATTTCCCAGACCTATTCCTCTCAGTGTATGTTTTTACCATTTTCATTTTCTCTGATTCGATTATTGTTTTTCTGGTGGCTATGATATCCGACTTACCAGGCGAAGGTAATAACAGGAAATGGTCGGTTTTGTGGTCGATATTTGGGAGCAGGAAGGATTGTATGACTGAAAAAAGAAGCATAAGGAAAAGGATATTAGTGGGGCCCACCATGCCATTTTGTATATGGGGCTTTGTTAAAAAAGAAAAAAACGAATATTGTTGTTAGGTTGTCTAATTGTTACGCATCCATACTTTACTAACAAATCTGCATATTTATCCCCTGAAAATCTAATCTTTTTTTTTACTGGTTAGAAATAGTGTAATGAATCAAACAATGATGGCCAGTGAATTTATCTCTTGATGGAGTACACTTACATTATTGCAAAGTAGATTAGCTCTCTTGAAAAACAAAAATTATGTACCTTAATGAGGAAGTACTGGATGTGAATCACAAGTTCACAACAACCTCTTGACTCATTACATGAATGAGAAGCATTTTGAAAAATATGCAACATAAAATTTCAATCTCTTTTTTTCAATCGAACATCATCCAATTCTATTTTATTCATCCAACTAGCTGGTATTGTTTTTGAGGATATTGAAATGGTTGTAGTTTTCATATGCAATCTTTTTCCAGAGGTGATAGTTGTGACAAGACTGAATTCACGATAGAATCAGTCATTACCAACCAAATTTCCCAAGAAATTCACAATTCAGCCTAGAAAGCTATATATGATCTTAATT